TGTATATATGGTCCAATTGATAACCTTAAGTATATATTCATTTGGTATATATACTCTACGACATCAATCAACATATATAACTTGTTTTTTGTTTCTTTTGCTTTACAATATTCAACATAAAATTGGTTTGTACTAAATACTATTTTTGGTTTATCAAAAAGTTATAGGTGGTATGGTCCGTATTACTTTCGGGTTAAAAACTTCACCAAGTTAAATCAGTTCATTTCCTGTCACTTGAGTTCAAATTCATCGACTTTAAAGGTCTTAGATTTCCTGCTGTCAAAAAAAAAAAAAAATCTCCTAATAATCTAATATACACACTCCAATTGAATAATAGATTTTGTGTATTAATTAATCCTGACAAAGTAGTTTCTTTTCCCTTTACTTGGGTATATGGATAGACGGAACTTATGCATGGAGCTAGTGCCTGGGGCGTTACTATATGAATATCATTTGTACACATGATTTATCTCCCACTACGTTGCAAGCATGTCCAACTTTGCCTAATTTGGCTGGCCAGTCTAGAAAATCTCAACCTAGAAAGAATAACTAAATTCCCGCATATAAATAGATAGATTCGATCATATCTATAGCTAATACGAACCATATCCTCCGGTCCTTTCAAGCACACTAATTTTTATTTTGTTTCCACCAAAAACATTTGTTTTGACATGATCAATTAAGCACCTATTTATTACCACGCTATCGAGAATCTAACAACAGTGGGCCGGGTGACAATTCTGAAGGCGAGATATGTGTCTAGAGACGAGCAACGCAATATCCTCTTCTTTAGCAACGCAACGCAATTTGCTTAGCTAGATATATTTTTCTTCTCTATCAATAACTTTTCTTCTGTCTTTTTTTTTCTTAATATTTTTTTCATTTTCTTGATAACTTGATTTGTTTACAATATCTCTAAGAAATTTTAATCAATTTTTTTTAGAAATGATAAAATATTACCATCTCTTTTAAATCCGCGTTTTTACCTTAAAGATCGTATAAAATAGAACAAATGAGTATTAATTAAAGTTTTAAAATCCCCAAAATCATCAAACCTACACAAATGTAACTACAAATGTGAACTCTAGGAATATATTTTAAATGAAAAACTATGAGAAAGAATGTTTTACAAATGATGCAAACATATGTTTTATATCATTACTTCTGAAGTTTAGCAAATATAACATTTAATCTCTTTTATAAGTTATATTTCTTAATACTCGAAATAAAATATTTAACACTGTTTACTTCATGAACTATATATAATTTCTATAGCTTTAAGAAAAAATTTAAACCTTTAAACATTAAAAATATCATCATTTGTACCAATCAATGATAACTCTCTACTATTTAACGTTTCTAATAGATTTGAGAGAGATAGGCATTGAAAGCCAACTCATTTGGCCATACTCTCCATGAATATTAAAATTGAAATTGATTATTCCAACATGGTGAGGTTTTTGTTTTTTTGTTTACGTATGAAAGTAGAGCTTTTTAAGTTTTTTATATGTACACACCGATATAATAGTGTAGTTATTACAAACAAGAAAGGTAGTAATTACTAATACACAAGCCTGCATATCCCTTCTCCATAAGAGAATTTGCAGCAACGGATTCGGGTTGAATGTAATCGTGACATACAATACAATCAACCGATTCGATCCGTCACTTATTCTATTATTTTTGAATAAACCTGCATGTTTGTATCATTCATTGATATCTAAACACACATTACGATATGCATATATAGAATAATTGGTAGATAGTTTCAACATGAGCTATTTATTCTTGTGGTCTTGATCGAATCCGTTATGCGCATCAGAGATACTCAGTAGTGGATACAATTAAGAACTCAACACCAATATATATCTGATCGTTCACTAGAAATCCCCTCGAAGCTTTGTGGAGTTCCTCCAGCGGCAAAAACTTATGACGTCCCGAGGTCGTTAAATGAAGAAACCAATCTTGGCAGTCTTTAATTATCAAACATGTAATCATTAGTAAACGGCTATATATATATATATGCATAGAAAATGTAAAGCTTAGAAAACAAAATGATAAATTAATTACGTATACATACTAATTTCATAGTGATTGCGATGGAGTTGGTCCAACACTCTCAATTTATAGACAGCCAATGTTACCCCCTTTGGATCATCAGTGACATAATCGGAAGCAATCAAATACAAAGAAAACGAATTTCCTTTCCCATCTCCAAAACCTTCTGGGTACATTGATAGCCTCCTGGTTCATATTTGAAACATTAATTTCAAAGTATGGATAATTGAATCATTTCATATAATATTTTTGAATTCGTTCACACTCGATAGAAAGTATATATGATATGCATACCATCTCCGTGGTCCAACCGTGAACTCGTCAGACGAATGCTCTACACCAGTGAAGGAGGAAAACTTCGTGATCTTCCAGGTGAATCTGGAGTTTTTCCGAGCTACCTCTATCAGTTTAAAGCGTTCTGCTATTCCCATGGTTGGAGTGATACCGGTAACGGGGAAGTTTGGTTGGACATCGCTTATCTCGGCATAGAAAACCGCTTTGTCGTTCACAAGAAACCTCTCCTTCAACACCGTGTATAATATGAAGTTGTCTAACCCTTGAAGAGGGTTTTGTTGGTTGTGACACCCCACCAAGACTGATACACAACATAGATTTCAATATATCAAAATCTACACCCAATAATACTTGTAAATTTTTTGACAAAACATACAGTACGAAAATTCAGGTCCAGTCTGAGGGAGTAGGCCGATTTTGAAGTTGAATTTGACTTCCCAATTAGATCCGGTACACTTTTCATCTATGATCCACACAGAAACAGATAAATAATCTTTGAATCCCACAGCTGGGCGTATAAGCAACCTCCTATATCGCCAATATCATGCCAGAAAAGAACACACATAAGTTTAGTTAAATTGCATATCATGAGCCGTGTTGGGGCACCAGATCGAACGACTCACCATTTGATACCAGAAACTTGGAAGTCCAATGACTGACAATTATTAACTTTTTGAGTCAATAGCTTAGACATTCCATCAACCAACATGAAGTGAGCGTTTTTGCGTTCCTTTAGCTTCCCTTTTATGATCTCTATATGAATTATATACGTAGATAAGTAAACATAAATAGACAGAAAGGAGTTTTAAACTTATATGTATGCATGCATAAAGAAGTAAAACGAACCTTCAAATGACGTTAGACCCATTTTGAGGATGATGGTCGTCTACTATATACCGTAGTAGGTTTTTTTTAGTTGTACTGGAGTGGGAAGAAAGTACTAAGCATATTTCTGTATATATAGACAGATTACTTGATGAAAAAAAAAAAAAAAGACAGATTACTTGACAAAGGGGTTTTATATATCTTAATTGCTCCTAGTAAAAAGAAAACAAGATTAAAGCTGGTTTTTCGGCTAATTTTTCACCACTAGACCTGTTTGGACTCGGCAGGAATCTGTATGGTCCAATTGATAACCTTAAGTATATATTCATTTGGTATATATACTCTATGATATCACTCTACACAAAAATTACTTTGTATTAAATACTTCTTTGGTAACCAAAAAGTTTTAGTGTAAGAATATCCATACTATTTTCGGGTTGAAAACTACAAACAATTAACATAGTTCATTTCCTATATATGACTTAAGTTCAAATTCATGTTTTATATTTAATCTTATCTACGATTGTAACTGTTTTATTGTATCGATATCATTTATATGTATTATTCTCTGACTTTTCTGCATAGAGTATCCTGCTTCTTTGGTTGTAAACGCATTTTGAGATTAATATAAGATTGGTGACAATAAAAAGTTTCAAATTCATGACTTTGAAGATATTAGATGCTGAATTTTGTGTATTAAGAACATAACAAAGCAATTTATTTTTCCTTTCCTTGGGTAAATGAATAGACCGATAAATATGAGCCTATTAACAGGAGCTAGTGCATGGGGCGTTACTTTAGGAATATCATTTGTACACATGGTATAATATAGTGTTGATACAATTGATACATATCTCCCACTACGTTGCATGCATGATAAAGTATATATAATATCATTAGTAGCATGTCCCAGATCTGAGCACAAAAAACTTTACGTAATTAGTGTTGCTACCACATTAATTTGGCTGGCCGGTCTAGAAAATCCAACCTAGAGAAGATAACTAAATTCCCACATAGAAATAGATAGATTCGATCATATCTAATAGTATGCGATTATACGAACCATATCCTCCGGTCCCCTCAAACACACTAATTTTTATTTTGTTTCCACCAAGAACATTTGTTTTGACATGTATGACCAATTAAGCAATTACGTTTATTCCCTCGTTATAGAGAATCTAACAACAGTGGGTGACAATTGTAAAGGCAAGATGTGCCTAGAGAACGCAATGCAATGCGCCTACATATATTTTTCTTCTTTATCGATAACCTTCTTTTGTTTTACATCCATTTTTGATCTAACTTAAAAAAATTTCCCTCTATATTTTTTACTTTATTATTTGGAAATTATATCCTTTTATGAAAAATTCTTCATTTTTTTTTCATTTCCTTGATAATTTATTTTGTCTACAATATCTCTAAGAAATTTGAACCAAAATATTTATGGTGTATTGTACTTATTTCACAGTACTATATTTTTTTTAAAGTAAAACTTATAATAAAATTTTATTTGAATATTAGAGAAAAGAACCATATTTTCTTTAGTGGTTTTGGCCTCTTAAATATTAGAAACGGCTCCGATTAGAGATATCTCTAAATGGCTGTCAAAAAAAAAAAAGAGATATCTCTAAATGGCAGTTTAATTACATTTGATCATTTACACTATTTTTATACAAAATTAAAAAGTATGGTTCACCAAACAATGCGCAAACCCGACAAAACATTCAATGGTTACATATGACTAAACCCATCAGAAACATTCTTTATTTAGCAACAAATCTTCACTATATAATAGCGCAAGTGTTCATTGGAAATAAGAAGTAAAATAATCATCTAGAAAAAAATGGTTATATCCAAGAAAACAATTGTGCAGTCACTCGCTTTTATGATTATTATATCTATCGTCATGAGCACAACCGAAGCAAAAAGCATAGGCGTTCCTGCTATGCGAGAAGATTTACCCAAAGGTTGTGGTCCTGGGTCTCCACCAGGTTGCAAGATGCAACCGGCTAATCCGTATAAACCAGGTTGTGAAGCTAGCCAAAGATGCCGTGGTGGTTGATACTACGAGATATAAAATTTTCTTAAAAATAAAAAATAATAATACATAAATAAGAGTTAATTTCCAACTAATTTCGTAAAACTATAAAATACAAAAAATTTTGTAACTATTTCTATGAGAATAAACTTTTTTTAAGTAGTAGCTAGCTGATACTGGTGTATGGCAAAGCTAATATCGTCTAACTTAGCACAAAATAATTGTTATACTTATACCAGTCATTTGTTATTATAATTTTTTATATATATAGTTTTGGTTTTTTAATATATAATGTACTTATAATTTATAATAGAGGTAAAAATGTTTAACGCTAGGATTGCAATCCCAACTCTATATATGTAGTTTTTTTATTTATTGATTTGTTCTTTGGTTTCCTCTGTAAAACTTATTTTTTTTGGTAATATATTAATTTTAACTTAAAATCAAGCAAACACTATATGCAATAACCAACATTAAATAAATTAAATTTGGTGATACTACTTATATAATTACACAAGCTTATTGTGGACCGGTTACACAGTTACGACCACAATAAGCTTGTGTTATACCATACTCAATTCTTGCTAGTTGCTATCACCCCTAACCACATCATAATTATCAAGAATTTATATTTGTGACAACGCACGTCATTCACTCATTATCCAAGAAAGTTAAAAGAAAAGAAAAAACTATATATTTAAGGCAACACTTTCTTCTTCGGATCACAATCTTTCTCATTAAGGGGAAAAAAGAAAGAAAACATAAATTAAGAGAAATACAAAAGAATCGAAAAAAAACTTGAGAAAAGAAAATGAAAACGAAAAAAGGCATAAAATATAGGAAGCCCTATATATAAAGAATGCATCATGCATGCATATGATCAAGCATATATCCTCATCTTGTTGATGACTTTGTAAACATCATCCACGTCATCATCGTCGTCTTCTTTCGCCGCCTCCACACACCGCTCATTATCGTCCCCGAGGCTGCCATCGCCACCGCCGCATCCTCCTCTGCTGACGTCAGCAGCACCAGCAGAGTCGACTCTCATGAAGAAATTGCATAAGAGAAGTGTTAAGAAGCAACATATAATCAATTCTCTTGCTGCAGCCATGGATCACACACTTTCTCTATATCTCTCTTTCTCTTGTCTGAAAACAAATTACAATGTAGATTAATCCAACTTACTTTAAAAGCTTTTTGTCTTTTATTTATTGTGTTCTTTTGTTATGTTTTTCTCTTACAATTTATGCTTATATAAGAAATGGAATTTACTATTAATGGAGTAGAGAGTTTTCTTTTGAGCTAGTCTTAAGGCTAAGTAACTGTTGCAGTATTTTTCTTTTTTTCCTTCTTCCCAATAATGAATAATCACTTATTTCTTTGTTTTTGCTATGAGAATATACATGGTTTGCTCGTAGTTAACCCTTCCCTGTTTTGGTAATATGTGTTTTTTTTTTTTTTTTTTTTTTTACAGCAAAATAAGTTCATCCATTTAAGCTAAAAACGGACGGTTTTCTTATGGAGAAAACCAGTCCGGTAGAGAAGAGCTTACATGGGAAAAGATAGAACCGCGTGATCGTGCCTTTTTTGCGAAACAGTCAGTACGGGTATTGTTACAGCGTGGGATAAAAGATAACATAAAAGAGAGAAAAAGAGACTTCAACGACCTAAAATCTTCTAACTCCGAAGAAAAAGCAGGCCCCTCATCGGGAGTGTCTAAGACTTGAGTTAACTCCAAGCAATCTGTTTCAAAGACAGCATCAAAAATAGAGAGTGTAGTAAGCGACCTCATTGCCCAAAGTAAGGATTCAAACTCCGTGTGAAGCGGGGATAAACACCGACGAAAACTCCTTAAGCCAATATGCTGCATATTTCCATTTGACTCAACAATCCAACCAATACCACTCAGGGGACAAGACTCCACCCAAGAGCCATCTATCCGGCAGATAATAGAGTCATTCGGGTGATGATCTTGGAGAACAGGTCCCGGTTGGGGGTTAAAGATCGTTTCTCGGGCTCTAGCTACTCGAAAAGACTCGGCCTCCTTTAAAGCATGCTGAACCGTGTCAGAAGGGTGAATATCCGTATTCTCAAAAACTTTTGAGTTGCGTGCCTTCCAGATAAACCACATGATCCAAGAAAAGTTCCTTAAGGTCTCCTCTCGTCCTCCTAACTCCTTGGCTCTCCAGAAGAGGTAGCTTTTAAAAACATAACAAAAGAGGTAAAATATACATTGTAATTTGTTTTCAGACAAGAGAAAGAGAAATCTTTTATTGTGTTCTTTTGTAAAATAAAAGAACACAATAAAAGAGGTAAAATATACATTGTAATTTGTTTTTAAAATATACATCGCTAACAAAAGATTTTACCTCTTTTTCGCTAACAAAAGTTTTGTAAAATCAAACTTTTATTGTGTTCAATTGATTTTACATATGTGTTTCAATATGGCTTTTTAAATTTTTTTTGGGCCGTTGAAGCTTTCTGCCTGTTTGGCTGTGTAAATAACTACATGTTTTTCTTTTTGTCAACCATATGTTTATCAGAAACTCTTTGGTTGGTTATTAAGGAGAAAAAATGTTTACAAAGATAGTTTCATAAACTAAAAGTTTAGAAGAACGGACTAAATAGTCTCTTTTTAAATTACAAGAACGAAAAATAAGAGATAGCGGTAAAATCAATTGTAAACTTTTTACATGTTTAGATGACAAAAAAAAATTAAAAAGAAATCTACACGGATGAAGACTTGGGCCTTGAGCTTATTTGATAGGCCCAATAGTAAAAGTAAAACAAAAATCGTCGTGTCCAATATAGGTCCATCGTCACCGCCAAATCTCTCATCTCTCTAATCGGAAAAGACCTCCGACGACAACGACCACCGTCCCTCCGTCATGCCGGAGATCGACGCGTTGTTTGAATCGATCAATGTTCGGGACCTTCTCGCCGGACACGATCTAAACGATCCCACAACTCCGTTATCGGCGCCGGATCTCCGTCTCCTCATAAACCGCTTAGAGTCTCATTCCCTGCGGATCAAGTCCAAAGTTCAGTCATACCTCGTCGCTCATCACTCTGATTTCTCAGAGCTCTTCTCGCTTTGTCAAGACACCGTCTCGAGGACTCGTCTGATCTCCGATGACGTCTCCGATGTCCTACAATTGGTTTCTGACCGTCCGATTGATGTTGAGATTCGTAGTGTAGTGGATGAGATAACCGAAAAGACTAAGGAAGTGAAATTGAAGAGAGAATCGCTTGATTTAGTGAGTGCGATCGTTGGAATCTGCGAGGCATTGCAGGAAACGAAGGAAGCTTTGAAAAACGGACGTTTCAGATTCGCCGCTGAGAGAATCAGAGAATTGAAAGTCGTATTGAGGATTGGTGAAGAGGAAGAAGGAGAACCTGTTGCCTATGCTTTGCTTAGGAAGGAATGGTCTAATTGCTTTGATGAGGTGAGCATGGATTGAATAAAGTGAAACCTTAGTTTAGCTCAGTGCCAATGGCTAGATTGGTGTCTTCAAGATTGCATCCACATTTCAAAGAAACGTGTCTGTGTTTGCAGATTCAAGAGGTGCTTGCTAAATTCATGGAGAATGCAGTGCGTTTCGAGCTAGACTCTAGTAGACTTCGGATTAAGTGTCAGCTAAGCGTTGGTGAGACTGCTGGAATCGCTCTTAGTACTGTTCTCGAGGCAATGGAGGTAGGAATATATGATTTTACTTCTATATCTGGCGAAAATTATTGCAATTTCAATACTATTTTCTTTTGTAATGAGTCATTTGTTAGATTACACTTCTTGACATTTGACTGTTCTGGACTTATCTAGGTGATTGGAATGTTAGACTATGGGCTTGCGAAAGCAGCTGACTCAATCTTCAAGCATGTCATCACTCCAGCTGTAACTCATGCATCTACCTTTACCGCTGTGGAAGATTTAAGTAAATCCTCAGGGGAAGTCACCGAAGCTACATTACGGCTAGAGCAATCCTCCGATCATAAGGTAGATGTTTCTCTGGTACGGATGAGGTCTAGAGGAGCCTCTATCCATCTCATGAACTCTTTATTTTCTCTGGCCGATAGACTATACGTTTCTTGTCTTTTCTGCATTGGTCTATGTCTTCTGAACCTTTAAATACTTACCCACTTTAATGCAGGTTGAAGATGGGGATGGAGATGCAATATATTCAGGAACTCTTAAGGTTGTTAAGTTCATTTGCAGTTCGTTGTGCTTTGGAAACATTACATGGATCCATTCTTTTGGGAGATTGACATGGCCGAGGATATCAGAGCTGATTATATCTAAATTTCTTTCTAAGGTTTGCTTTTAAAATTCATGCAGTTGTGAAATTATGTAGAAATTTCTTTGGTACAGAGAGAGAGAGAGATAGAGCACTCTTCTCCTTTGTACTTTAACTGTTTTAGTCTGTTTTGTTGTTCCCTTTGGAGTCAGGTTGTCCCAGAAGATGCTTCAAAACTTGCTGACTTTCAGAAAATTATCGAGTGGACCTCTCAATTCGAAGCAGCTCTAAAGGAATTGAATTTTGTTTCACCATCTGACGCAGAGAGTAGGCTCAGCAAATACGCTGAAGATGTGGAGGTTCATTTTGCATCTAGAAAGAAGATAGAAATCCTAGCAAAAGCAAGAAATTTGCTGCTGCAATGTAACTTTACGATTCCCCAGGTGGGCTGTGATTATCATCATCGTGTCATATTTACCGCATTAACCTTCTCATGTCAAAGATCATGATTGTGAACTCCTTTTCCAGGGAATTTCTGTGAGGAATGCCAAATTTAAGTCTGATGGTGTTGAATCTTTAGATGTGAATTCTTCCAAGCACATCGTTTGCTTACTTTTCTCGTCTGAAAGGTGTGTGGTATCTGAAGCTGCATCTCAACTTATGCATTTGGTGCATAAGACGCTCGAGGTGGCTCTTTTCAGACTTCTGCAATTCAATCTTAGCATTTTCCAGACACAGTTGGGATAATAAACTCATTTATATACAGGATGTCTGTGTTTCTTCTGCAAGGGTTGCTTCAGAGTTCTACAACGCTGCTCGAGATTCTATCCTTCTATATGAAGCTGTTGTTCCTGTCAAGGTCAGTGAAAAAAAATCTTATGAAAGGTTTAACAACTGAATCAGTCTAGTGACTATCATCACATGAAAATCTCTCACCAATATGCGCAAATTCTTATCCTTCTTTTTCCTTACTCTCTTGAAATGTGAAGCTAGAGAAACAACTCGATGGCATCAACCAAGCTGCTGTTCTTCTACACAACGATTGTCTATATTTGTTCGAAGAGATACTTGGACTTGCTTTTGAGGTATGATCAATGTGTTTAAGCAAGATAAACCGCTGTTTTTAACTTCTTTCTTTTGTTAAGAAATTGTCTTGTCTTCTTAAGCATCCTTATTCATTAACAGGTGAAACTTATAATTCTCTCCTTCTGCTGACTATTTCATCATTTTTTGTTCACAGTATCGTGCTAGCTTCCCTAGCTCCATCAAGGAGTATGCAGTCTTTGCTGACATAGCCCCAAGATTTAAACTGATGGCAGAAGAAGTTTTGCAAAAACAAGTTCATCTAGTAATTTCGAGTCTACGAGAGGTGAATCTGTGTGGAAAAAACTGTGCTTAAATCTGACAAAGTAATCTTATCTACTGAGTATTGATTCCTCGTCTAACATTTTGCATCTATGATCAGGCTATAGATAGTGCAGATGGATTTCAGAATACTCATCAAATGAAACAATTTGAATCTGCAAAATTTAGCATTGAGCAGGTAAATACACAGACTTAAATTTGTTTGCTTTTTCCTTACCTTCTTTCCAATCAAGTGTCAGTTTTATCAGGAAAATGCAATTGTTTTATAGGTTGTCTTTAGTCTAGAGAAAGTGCATATGATATGGGAGCCGGTCTTACGGCCCAAAACTTACAAGCAAAGCATGTGCGCAGTTTTGGAGTCGGTATTTCGCAGAATAGCCAGAGATATTCTTCTTCTAGACGATATGGCTGCTGATGAAACTATTCAGGTAGCTGTTTCTCTTTGCTAGTCGCTTGTACAATGTTATTTTCTAACTGGGTAAGTGGGTATTGAATATGGGTTTATTTATTTATTCTCAGCTACAAAGACTGATTTATCCCATGTTGGAGAATCTATCTTCTTTACTCGATTCCCTGAGATCTGCAGATGAGACTTCTCGTCCTCTTGATGATCTCATACCATCTTTGCGCAAAACCCGTAAACTAGCAGGCATGTCCTTTGATTCTTTTTCATTTCCCTCAGTTTGACGCTAACTCTGCATTTTCTCAGTGAAGTTTTCTTACCATGGCTTTTCTTTTTGTTTATCATTTTCCAGAACTATTGGATATGCCTCTCAAGTCTATAACTTCAGCTTGGGAAAGTGGGGAGTTATTTAGTTGCAATTTCACAAGAACAGAGGTACAATCTTTATAAAATCGTTTTACTTCATGAACACATCCTAATAATTACCGATAACAACTTAAATCTAATTCTGAAAGCTTTTGTAATGTACTTGTTGCAGGTGCAAGATTTCATCAAAGCTATATTTACAGATTCGCCGCTGAGAAAAGAATGCTTATGGAGGATAGATGAGTTTAGCCAGTAGATTGGAAATGGTAAAACTTGAAAAAAAAAAAAATCTTTAGACCTGAGAAGAAGCCTATTGGCTGAAGAGCCATGAGGTAGTTAATGTCAGCAGCTTGTATCATCGACTGACACACTCACTCTTGTGTAAGAATATATATGTAAAGAGAGTTTTAGCTGATGAGTTAAGTTAAAACTTTAGGCTTAAAAGCGTGCGCCAGATTTTGTTGTACATGATCTTTACATATTTGGGTTTTAGATTCATGAAGAATAACGCTCTTATGCAAATTCTCCAAAACCGGTAAATCGTAACACATGAATTACATTATAATACTTTCTTTTCTATGAAATTATTTATATACAATTATTTCAATGAAATTAATATTTTGATATATTTTAGTCAAAATAGTGTAAATAAAAATATAGTGTGTTTAGATGGTAATATATAATACAAAATTATTTCATAAACTACTAACAATAGGAAAATATTTTAGTCTAATAAATCAACAAGATAATATTAAGAAAATTAGTAAGACAATGGTAATTTTAGTCTGGCCACATGATTTAAATTTTAACATAACACATAACGGTCATAATTACGGGCCAGAAATTTCATTAGAAGATCTTATTAGATTTAGTGATTTGTGAAGAACTTGAGATGACGTCATATATTTCTATTTAAGAACACCACACATCTCTCTCTCTCTCTCTCTCTACCTTCTCTCTTAGGTACACTTTACGCTCATTCTCTCTCTCCTCTCGCTCTCTTTTCTTTCTTCTTCCCCAGCTTTAGGTTTCTTGCGTACAACGGTACAAATTCTTTTTAAAATTTCTCCTGTCTTTCAGAGAATCGAAGAAAATGGGTAACTATGATGATCCTAGGGTTTCAGAGTCGAACTTCGAGATGTTGTTACATGTCGCTGCCATGGTTTACGATCAAGAGTATGGTACTCACGAGGACGAGAAATCAAAGACCATTGACGAAGAAACAGAGATAGAAGCAAGAATCTTTGGAGATAAAGTACCGAGAAAGAACAGAACCCACCGATCATCTCCTTCTTTTCGCAAGACGCGTGCGATCGAACAACAGAGATCATCGGAACTACAAAACCCTAATACCGAATCGGAACCTTCTTCTTCATCTTGCGTTACCCAGTTCAAGAAACGTCTTCACATGAACACCATGGAAGAGAGAAGTCTCAAGAAACCCAAAATCGATGGTCCTTTAGAGGTGGAACCAATTCAAACGACACCACCGGATTGGCTTTTGAACGTGATGAGGAGAGAAGAGAACGGCTACAATCCAAAACTGATCTCAACGAGGAAACTGTTTAAGACTGACCTCGCCAGTCTTCAAGCACGTCTCTCAGTACCTTTTAGGCAAGTGAAAAATCCAGACTTTTTGACAGAGGAAGAAACAAGAATCATAAATGAACAAGCTTTGAAGATTCGTAAAGAAGGTGTGAGTGTTGATTTGGTGGATCCTTTGTTGAAGAAGCATGTTCTTGATCTGAGGAAATGGAAGATGACTGGAAACTGGTATTATGTCTTTGTTGATGGTTGGAAAAATGTGCTTGCTGCTAATAGCTTTAAAGTCGACGACTTTTTTCCTCTTTGGTCTTTCCGATCGGGAAAAGGTAAACTCTGTTTTGCTCTTGTCCCTCCTACGGCGAGCCACGAGGGCGCCTCTACTTCCGGCGAATGTAGCCACGGAAACCCTCTTCTTGACGACGATTCTGGCCACTGCGCTGGTGAATGTAGCAACGGATGCTCTTCTTTCCGAGATTCTCCGCCTCTCTGACCATGCTCTGTTTATCGCCAGAGGATCACACGTACAATACAAAAAAAGGATCTTCATTTCTGTCAATTCTTGGTTTCTTTTGGCCTAAAGGTGCAGTTTTTCTTAGGAAATGTAATTTGATTTTGGTGCAAGATTTAGGGTTTTTAGTCTTCGACACTTATTGGAATTGTCGTCAGATATTATAAACAGAGTAATGAAAGAAATTTTTGTTTTTTGCTCTTCTGTTTGCTAAGAATTTTCGTTTGTTCTGTAGTTCATCATACTCAATTTGGGTATTTTTGGTTTCTAAACTAAATGTCTAAATCCAGTTGCTTTGGTATAATTATCTTGAACGGTTTGGTGAAGATTTATTATGTAGTTTAAGTTTTCTCGGTTTGTTCTTTCCGTGGTGCTATGAAGACAAAACCACATGAAAAAGTTTAATGCTACGAATTGTGAAATCACTATACACTACAGACTCTCTGTTATGTGTCTATCAAAAATCCAAAATCAAGACATGTTCCTATATATCTCTTGAGAAAAGGGAAACACATTTCAACTGTTGAGATCCAAAAGTAGCAAAATCCATTCATCCTTACAACCAACAGCATCATGGAGAAAAGAAACATCATCCATTTCTTGACTCATTTTATTTCATGGCAGAAGACTTTATTGCTTACTTACTAGTATTTGTTACCTTTTCTATCCAACATTATGCTGATGTCCAATGATCACCTAGTGCTATGTTGTGTTTTAAGATTATACTTTAATTTTGGGTGCGGATGTTATGCAGATCAAAGATATGGCCTCGAAATTCTCAGGTACTCATAAACAAAGCAAGCCAATTACAAGCTGAGTGGTTTGAAGAGGACGAGCCTGGTGTCTACATTACCATCAGACAGTTACCACATGGAACCAGAGAACCGGGGTTTCCAGCATTTTATATCCTAATTTATTTGGCGGTTAACCGTAAACCTTTCGAACCGGGTGTTTGCAGTCGGGAATGGTTTGGGGAAGTGCATGCCAAGACATGGTGGGAGCAGAACAGAGACAGAATACAAACCCAATACCTCTAAGAGGACAAAAAAAGAGACCAATATTTAATCTTCTTTAACACAACAAAGGTATACACAAAAATCAGAATTTTGTTCATCTTCTTAAATTTGGAAGAAAATCAGAATGTGATACGAACAAAAAATGAAAATTTGATTTTTTAGAGATTTGTGGTTAGCTAGTTCTCGGCGTTTTGATAGCTATATATGTAATTTTCCTGACGATGAGATGAGCTTTATTATGCCTTCATTTCCTGGTTCATTTTTTGAATGCTTCAAGTGGATAAAGATTACTATCAATTTGTTTGTTAGTAGCATATATAGTAGTATCAAGCGAACTTAGCTGTCACATATATATTCTACTAAAATCATCAAATGGAGAGGAAAAAGAAGAAAAATACCCTATAAGAGAAAAGAACTTTGTTTTTGACAAAAAAAATATCAAAAGATTTCAACCATAACAAACACACAAACTAGTTGCAAAACCATCTTGAATCATCGTCTAGTTCCACTTCTACTTTAAGCCTTTAGCCAACTCTGCTCATAATTTTCCTAAACCAAATGGGAGATCCAAATGTAATGGATGCAGGAAAAGGAACTAGCTAGAAATTGAAGGAACTTGTGTGGTGTGTGATGCAAGGTACGTCATCAGCCTATTGATGAAACGAAGCAAAACACGCGCGATTTCATGTCAGGTCTAGCTTGATCAAACCAATTTATGGATTTGAAAGAAGCAAATAAATACCTTATCAAGAATGTTTTGCTTGAAACCAATGATCGGAGTTCAAAAGATTTAACTGGAAATATTGAAAACAAGCAACTCAAATAATCTTCTAATGTAATCATAAACTCTTTGATTTTCCCATCGATTATGAGCCTGAATTGTTAGAGCAAAACATCTGCTAGGTGGCTTAATTCAAAAAAAAAAAAAAAAAAAATTATCTACTGGAGAAGAGTCATACTAAGAAGGAATTACTATGAACATAAAGCTAGCTCAAGCATAAATCTAACACAACAAATTCTCCTGTTCCATATAACCACTATTGGAATCAGACATGCAAATAAAAAAAATGAGAGCTTACGATGATGACACTCTGTGTTCGCCGCCTATATATGGCCGCCGCTTCTAACAACAGAAAATGTGGAGAAAATACCAACCATGCTATTGAATTCGCTTTTTTTTTTCTTTTTTTTTTTCTTCTTAGAAGTCCAATTAATTATGCTTATTATTGGAAAAGACGAATCCTCCATGATCTTGAGTTTGAATATTTCAAGCTTAAACAAACAAAAGAAACAGTAGAAGAAAATATGCTTGTCCAAAGAGTGTAAATTCTCTTAAAAAAAACACACCAAAGCAGAAGATAAAAGCAGAGCCACAACGATTGCTTATTCTTTGAATTATCTCCAGTGGACTGATGATAAATGCTTTCTCAGCTTTATTTCAGCTTTAAAATATTTTTAATAATATATTGTTTTGTGGTACAATTTGCAAATATAGAAATAAGGTCAAAAAAGAAGGAAAAAGACAGAAATTTCCTTTTATTACCTACATAAACAAAAGAAAAAAAAAATGGAAACTTAATTTGCTTTGCAAGAAAAGGGGAAAAGACACAAACATAACTATAAGCCTATAAATAGAGAGGTTTATCGATGCAAACCAAACAGAAGACAGTTTGTTCTTTGTCTTGGCTAACTATAATCAATCACTAGCTAGCGTTCGGATATCTCTCTCTCGATCTCGATGGCGCTCAGACATTCGATGAATATAGACTCTTATGAATCAAAATCATACGCCTGTCTCGACAATTTCAAAGATACAGTATCGGTAGTACTAAGGATCCGTGGAATCAAACGCGTTTTTATGCGGAGTGCTAGTGGTCGTTAAACCCTAATTCAACAAACAACCATCGGCGGGAAGGAAGTTGTAGAAGTGAGAACCGAGATCCCACCTATGATTTTGATTGGTGTAGAATTGTGCGCTATCCTGTTGACCTATATGTTGATCGATAATGGAATCCACGCATGTATCCGGGACTGCGTTTTTGTTAACATCGCCAAAGAAGCGATTAAGCTGCATCGAGAAAAAAAAGGAGGAAGATCAGGTTTCTTAATTGTAACTCAAGTTGGAGTTATAGAAGAAACTTGGTTTAGTGATGTGATAGATCATGATGACATATCCGAAGATCATCCTGATCGATCGGTTACAAACAGAACAAGACTCATGCACAATCTGTCTAGAAGCGTTGGGTGAAAGCAGCACCACGAAATTGTTGTGTTCCCACAGTTTTCATAGGGACTGTATTTTTCAGTGGCTAGGCCACAAGCTTTCATGTCCTGTTTGTCGTTACAACGTTATCTAGCCATCTGCCTATCCAAGAAACAGCTCATTAATCCTTTAGATATCATCTTGTCTCTTTTTCGATAACCAATGTATTTTCATATATGCATTTATTTTTGATATTTAAACAAAATAACATTTATATCAATTTCAACGAGCTTATTCTTTCTTTCTATCTTTTGGTTTTCAGGTTTATTGCAGATATATAGGAGCCCTAATTGGTTTGATGCTTTATTCTTTCTTTGTTCTTAATTTATTTCCTTTTTCTCCATTAATGTTGCCAGGCTTTCTGTTCCTTGGACAACAAGCTACAGTCATAGGCTACTCTCTCGATTTTTATACAAAGGCTGCTACATACTATACGAAAATTAAACGGTCAAACAGGTATATATACGAAGAGCCCATCGACCTGGTAATCTCCTCCATTCATGTTAATTTTACGAGAAATATCAACCAAATTAAATGTTGATCGTTTGTAGAAATTCAAAGTCACCAGATCTTGACCTCTATATATGTGTGTAAGACGTCCCAATTCATCGTCTATATGTTCGCCGAGATTTGTCTCTTTTTATGGTTTTCTTCTGATTTCTAGGGTTTTGGTTTTTGGTGTTGGTGTTTGTTTAGGAGACTTTAGCTATGATGAGATCGGCGCAAGTGACGACATTACTCGAGTGTATGAACTACGTTGGATCCTCAGAGAACCTTCCACCTCGTGGCTAGTTTCTACTATGCATCCATTTATCATCTGAAAACATCGTCTCTGTATTTCTCTCCATTGCTTATGAGTTTTGACCTAGATATGAGCGACGATGATCATAGCTCGATAACTTGTTGAACAAGTCAGGAACAACGAGTTCTTATGATGACCTCGAAAGAGACCGTGAATGCTCTTTGTATCAGCAGGGTTTGTGAGTGTAGCAAGAATGTTGGAAGAGTTTCTGTTCGAGGCTGCTGCAAGCGACGCGTTTTTTAGAGCATGATTATTGGTAGTATCTTAGAAATACCTCTTAGCAATATTTAAGTAATATATTTGTAAAAGTGATAGTTAAGAGATAGTTTTTTTGTGTTAAGATTTTTGTATGATTAATAGTAGGCTCTTAACATGTGGTTCTTAGAAAATTAAAAAAAATTTATATAAAAATAAAATTTATAATTATAGACAACTTAATAATTGTTGCAAATTGAAAAAATTAAAACATACATGAGATACAATTTATAACATAAATAACATAAAGCACAAATGTTTTAAACTTAATTTATGGAATATTTTGTCCACTCGACCAAATCGGCGTCTAAATAGATTAGGAGGGAAAGTTGGATTTTCTGTGAAATAGTCGTTCCATAACTGGATGTGTCCTTCTTTTGTTTGTTTTTTTAACCAATCACAATGTGACACCTTGCAACATCTTAAGTTAAGAAAAACATATTAACTAAGATACAAATCTTAGCTTTAAGATGTTGGTTTGATTATTTTTAATCAACTTTAATCCTAAGATTTGTCTAAGATATTCAACATTTCAACCGATATTCATGCACTTAGAGGTAAAAACGTTTATAGGCACTTCGCAGCGTTTATAATATGTTTGTTCATTGCGCAAAGAAGAAGATAAAAACTCAATTAGCATTGAATCGTAAAAAGTTATATTATACAAATACTGAGTGCAAAGTCTCTTAAAAAAAACCACCAAAATCCAAAAGCAGAAGACAAAAGGAGAGCCACAAAGATTGCTTCGTTAAATCTCGAGTGGACTGATGATAAATACTTTCTCAGCTTTATTTAAGCTTTAAATATAATATATTGTTTTGTGGCACAATTTGCAAATATAGGAAAAAGGTAAAAAAAAAAGAA